TGTGCAATACTCATTCATTCATAATATAAACAAAACCCTTATAGCACAATATGCTAGTGCTCAGGTGTGTGTGTGAGGGGAAGGTGTGGAGGTGGGGAGGGGGGGACTTAGATTGTTGGATATGGAAATTAAGTGGAAATATTACTCTGACACCACTCTTTGGCACCCAGACTACCCTGGAGTCTCTCAACTACCTACCTTAATTCTGAGACTGTTTTAAGGGAGTAAACCCAAACTTTTCTGTGTTTACATATCTTCATAATAACCAGGGAACAATATTTTTTAAAGAAGCAGGAGAGTGCCATGTGTAAGAGAGATTATACAAACTGCAGTTTGAGTTTAGTCTCTGGAACATATGTAATTGACATTGGGCACTTTAATTAAATTCTATTAGCCCAGAGGTCTCAAATATGAAATTGGGGTAATAGTGTGTTTAAACTATAGTGTGTTTAAATTAGACCTTAATTATCTAATGTATCCATGAACTTATTATAGTGCCTTGCATAAAGTTAAAATCTTATAAGAGTTTACTTTAATATATATTTATATGTACCTCCTGTGGGTCACATACTGAACTGGGTGTTATATTCATTATTTCACTTAATCATTAATACTCTGTGCAGTAAGTAAATGAGTAAAGGATATCTCAAAATATGTGAGAAATATCCAAACATTATTAAGTTCTAAAATAATTTTATTTATGCTATAGAATACTCTAACAATGTAAAAACATTTAAACCCAAAATTAAAGGATTCCTTGCAAACTTTCCTTCCCAATCATATTCCTCTCCCCAGAGGAAACCAGTCTGATCTGTTTGGTAGGAATCTTCCAGAATACATTAATAATATCTGGAGAGACATCGAGAGGGAGAGAGGAAAGGAAAGAAGAATGGGAGGCTTGGGAAAGAAATTTCTCCTTATATCTTGAAAAAACTCTTTCCATTCATTACATTAAATTGAAAGTAATATTAACCTTCCTACAATCCTGGGATAAATAAAGGCAGACTAATATCTAAAGTCATTTTGAAGGTCTGTGTGATATTTTGGAAATGCAAGGTGATATTTTGCTATTCTTTCATTTATCGTTAAAAAATAGGGAAGCGGGGCCTCCCTGGTGGTGCAAGGGGTTAAGCACAGCACTATGAAGCAATCCTCAGCCTCTGCAGCACCAATTCCAACCCCAGCCAGGGAGCTACCCACACGGCGCAGCAGACCTCTCCTGTCTCGCCTGCTGCTCCCCTCAGCAGTGTGTTTCAGTCAGTCGGCCTGTTCTGTTGCCCACTCTGTCTCTGGTGAATCCTCTCACCCCTCACACCTCTGCCCTGTACCCCAGTTCTTATATGCATAAATAAATAAATATTTAATAAAAAAATAGGGAAGAGAGAGTAGATATTTCCTCAGGAGATATAAATGGGGAAAAGGAAAGCTGGGAGGGTATCCATATGTTCTGTCTCTATAAAGTGAGAGCACCACCCACTTTCAATCAAGAGACCCCTTCCACACTTTCCTCCAGTGAGACTTCCCATCACCTGGGCTATGAACTCCAGGTCTGCCCTTCCCTCTACTGGTCATAGCAGTAGCTGCAGCCTACTTTTCTTTCTTTCTTTTTCATTTTGTATATATTTTACATCATTCTTGTACAATGTGTTCTTTCTCCTCTCAGGTGTAGTCCCCGTGAAATTCCCACCACCAATTCACCCGTGTCCCATCACCATAGTCCACATGTGCTCTTCCCTCCCCTGTTCTGATCCTTCTCTCTCCTCTTCCCTGAGAATGTCTCTGATTTATAGTTGCCTGTTGATTTTGATTTTTAATTTATTATAATTACTTTTCCCCCCATCCCTTATTTGTCTCCTCTACATTCCTCCTATAAGTGAAACCATCTGATATTTTTCTTTTTCTTTCTGGCTTATTTCACTGAGCATAATCCCTTCCAGCTCCATCCATGTTGCCTGTGAATGGCATGAGTTTGTCTTTTTTGATTGCTGGGTAATATTCCACTGTGTATATGTACCACATCTTCTTGAGCCAGTCATCTATTTTTGGGCATTTGGGTTGTTTCCATAACTCCTATAAGTGAAACCATCTGATATTTTTCTTTTTCCATCTGGCTTATTTCACTGGGTCAGTGAAATAAGTTAGTGAGGGGGACTAAATAAGGGATCAGGAGAAAAATAATTATAATAAATAAAAAAACAAAATTAACAGGCAACTATAAATCAGAGACATTCTGCAAGGGATGGGGAGGGAGAGAGATAAAAACAAGGGAGGGAAAAGCACAAGGGACTATGGTGACCAGGCACAGGTGATTTGGTGGTGGGAATTTCAGGGACTACATGTGAGAGGAGAAAGCATACATTGTACCAAAATGAAGAATGATCTAAAATATAAATAAATAAATAAATAAATAAATAAATAAATAAATAAATAAATAAATAAATATTGGGGATTATATTTTATTCATTTTTGTTTCTGCAATAACTATTGCAGGACTTGGTACATATTAGGCACTTAATGAATTTTGGTGGATAAATGCTAAATGGTCCTTTGATGTTTTTTAATAGTTATTATGAGTTTATCATTGACATTCAGAGAAACAGAGACATCCAGGCACATTATAGAGTAATCCATCTATGTCTCAGTCTCTTCATTTGCATATTAGGAATTATAATGAAAAGTAATCCAAAGAATTTTTGTGAAGCTCGATTAGATACAAGTAGAAAGTGTTCAGGGCATTCAGTGGTAATAACAGGATCTGGGTACTTAATTGGTGCAGCTTAGACTCATGTGAAGATCCAGGTTTCAAATTGAAGTTTTTCAAGCCATCTTAGAGAATTACCTGTATTTCCCACTTTCCCACTTTTGGCTGTGGAGTTCAGTCTTAATCAAAGTGCAGTATCTGTTTATCCTTATTACAATTTATCTTGCTGGTTTTGTTCCCTAACCCCATCTATAAACAATACTTTACTATCCACCTGTTCAATGATGATAATATTTGATAATGGCCAAAAAGGCATGGGTGGGCTGTCAGGGGAGCTGAGGGTAGGAATGCAGTAAATGGAATCTGTAAGAAGTCACATAGAGGAAGCAGATGGGCAAAGGATGGACAAAGCATAAAGGCAGGAGGAGAATGATACCTATAACAGAGACACCAAGTCACAATGATTTCTATAAGGTACATGAGTAAGAGAAATAGAAAGATAGGAAAAACAGAACCTTTGGATATAAGAGAGTTCTGATTGAAGGAAATGTCTTATGCATGAACAAGGGAAAGAGTGGTTAAATGGAATAGAAGTGAAGGCTAATCAATTAAAAATGATTTGGAAGTGACTTACATCCATGTGTTTTGGAAAACACTCACATCCATGTAATGGAACATTATATGAGAAACATTATTCAGCAATTAAAATGGAATGAGCTATGATTTGCACATCCATTTAGATGAATCTCAAAGGCATTGTGCTAAATGAAAGAAACTAATCTGATAAAGTTATATTCTGCATGATATTTTTGTTGACATTCTTGAAAAGATAAAACTATAGTGACAGAAAAATATCAACTGATCAGTTATTGCCAGGGATAAGAGGTTTCAGGGTGAGATACATAATTAAAAAAGGCAGTGTGAGGAATTTATTTTGCAGAGTTGAAGTATTCTGAATTCTGAACAAGTCAGTTTTACAGTATGCTAATTGAAAGAGGGAGAGGGAGAAAACAAAATATCCATGTTTAACAAATGGAGAAACTGAAGATTTATATGAGGTCTGGAGAAAACCATGGCAAGAAGGTGTTTCTGGACACACCCTGACACAGACACACATGTACACATGTGCATGCAGATCCTTGTCATGTCCACAAATTCTAATCATGACAGCCACTGCAGACAATAAAATGTATGGGAGCACCTATGTGAATATTCATTCACTATTTTATGTGCTTCAAAACCATAAAATTGTACTTCCTGGCAAGTTTATTACCAAGTCTTCCAATCTAGGAAAAGATAAAATGCTACCTTTGCAAACATTTCATTTGAATGCTTCTGTGACTATTATCACTTATTTGTAAGTATAAGTGGTTATGAATTTCAGAACACAGAACAATAACTCATGTATGCAAAAAAGGTATTTTATTGTGTTATATATGATTCAGATTCCTCATTCCTTTAGATGAAATACATCAGACATCACCAACTCAGAGTCTTCTCATTAATCCTTGGGAGGTATCAAGGCATCTGGAATCTGAATTGATTTTTGGTCTTTGGTTGTTTTGGCATCAAAATATCTTTGTTCTGATTATCTCACTTTTATCTGTTTCTGATGTGCTGTAGTAGCATGCAGTATCAGTAGGGTTGCCTAAGAATCTTTATCACCTCTGATGTATTGTCAGGCACAAATGCATTTTTTGCAGAGTTTCCACATAGTGCAGGGAACTCTGTCAATTTATCTCATTCTCCTCATTGTGTAGACTCTGCAACCACTTTAAGTACCACTGACCTCGGGTAACCATAGAGTTAGGTGATTCTGGGAGATTCGAAAATAATAGAATAAAGCAAACAGGTCTACCAAACAGATAAACAGTGGTCAATGTCATTGGGGATGGGATAGGGGCAAGGGTCTGAGAGCCAAGAGTGATGATTCTGAGCCACATTGGCTTTGTATATTCCTTTCCACCAAGAAACCCATCTCACAATGTGAAGAACTCCCAAAGTAAAGAGAGCAGGGGCCTCCCTGGTAGTGCGAGGGGTTAAGACGCAACCTATGCAGCTGTCCGCAGCTTCTGCAGCAGGATTCCCCAGGCCAGCTGGGGAGCAACCCACATGGTGCAGCAGACCTCTCCTGACTCGCCCGCTGCACCCCTCAGCAGTGTACTTCAGTCAATCTGTCCTGTTCCCACTCTGTCTCTAGTGAATTCTATCACCCCCCCAATACCTCTGGCCTGTACCCCAGCTCCTGTATGCATAAATAGATAAATCTTTAAAAAAAAATAAAGTAAATAGAGGAGACTCAAATTCTACGGGAAGAGAGAAGACGTTTGATACCATTCTGTATCTGCTTGGTTTTAATACTATAGATTATTGGATTCATAAATGGGGGGAAAAGGAAATAGACATAGCTCATAATAATATGTACTATATGTGGCACATATTTCCCAAATCAATGAATGAGAGTTAACCCAGTCGCAGTGACATAAAAAACCAGAACACAGCTAATATGGGAAACACAAGTATTTAGAGCCTTAGCCTGCTCCTTACCAGAAGCAATTCCCATGACAGTCTTCAGGATTAAAATATAAGATACAAGGATAAGTATAGAATCTAAAAAACCAATTATCGAAACCAGGACTACAGGATAGAGTCTATTAAAAGTGATATCAGCACAGGCCAGTTTGATCACATCCTGATGCAGGCAGAAGGCATGGGAGAGGACATGGGATCTGCAGTAGGGGAATCCAAAAAGGGTGATGACTGTGGGCACAATAAGTATAAATCCTCGCATTATAATCCCTAGACCTATTTTCACCACCTTAGCATTGTTGAGAATGGAGGTGTATCTCAAGGGATTGCAGATGGCGATAAAATGATCATAAGCCATGACAAGTAAGACTCCAGATTCCACAACAGAGAGTGAATGGATTAGATAGGCTTGGAAAAAGCAGGCCCCATGGCTGATCGCCCTGTGATCCAGCCACAGGACACCAAGCACAGTGGGCATTGTTGTCAAAGTCACACCAAGGTCTGTGGCTGCCAATATGGCCAGAAAGTAGTACATGGGCTCATGAAGAGAGTGGTCCTCTCTGATAAGGATGAGGAGGGTGCCATTGCCAAGGACTATGAACACATAGATGACAAAGAAGGAGATGGAAATCCATGGATGAAACATTTCCAGACCTGGAAAGCCAGTAAGTAGAAAAGGGGCAGCACTGATGTTCGACCACATGGTGGACCCCTTAAAAGGAAAAAAAAAAAGCTCTCTTTAAGTTATCTTAGAAATAAAATTTGAGCCACATGTATAACTTTTTTTCTGATAGCCACATTAAAAAGAATAATAAGAGAAGAAACAAAAATACTTTTAACACACACAACTGATGGATGTGATCCTATTCCTCTAAATCATATACAATATTGTAAACCAATCTTACCTCAATTAAAAAAATATTAAAGTATTAATGCTCTATTTTTTAATCTGCTATATCCAAAATATTATCACTTAGAATATAATCAGTACAAAAAATCACGCTGAGATATTTTACATTTTATTGTATTCATTTTTCAAAATCCAGGGCCTCCCTGGTGGTACAAGGGGTTATCATGCAACTTATGAAGCTATCTACAGCAGCTGTAGCACAAGTTCAATCCCCGGCCAGGGAGCTACCCACATGGTGCAGCAGACCTCTCCTGACTTGCCCGCTGCTCCCCTCAGCAGTGTACTCTGGTCAATCTGCCTGTTCTGTTCCCCACTCTGTCTCTAGTGAATTCTCTCACCCCCTATCTCTGACCTGTACCCCAGTTCTTGTATGCATAAATAAATAAATCTTTAAAAAGAAATCCAGCATGTAGTCTACACTTAAAGTCTTGACTTAAACTAACCATAAGTTACAGTATCAGACAGCATATCACTAACTAAAAAATTATTTCTTCTCATATAATTAAAAAAACTAGATTTGACAGATAGTTACTGGTTTGAAGATGTAGGGGATAACATAAGAGGAAATTAGGTTAGTCTCTAGAAGGAAGAGAGGCTTCCAGGTTGACAGCATGAAAAAGAGTGGATGCCTAGGGCTTCTTGCCACAAGTGACTGAATTCTGACAACAAAATGAATGAGTTTGAAAGTGGATTCTTCTCTGCACCCTTCATATGAGTCCAGTCCAGTCATCACTTCATTTTGGCTTGAGGATACCCTAAGCAGAGAATACAATCAAAGTCTGTGACTGCTACTAGACTTTTAACTTACAGAAATCTTGTATCATAAATGAATATTGTTTTAACCAGCACAATCAGTGGTAATTTGTTACAAAGTAATAGAAAATTAATCGTCATTGTTATGATTCATATTTCACTACTACTAGTAAACCAATATTTAGAGGGTTTATGTAAGTTATTTGTTATGTCTTTTAGCTATTGCCACCAAAATGCCCCATGAAAAGGATTATACAGCATCCATGGCTTATAATATCACTTTTATGTTTCTCTCATAGTCATAGTTCGGTTCATTTTTGATAGATCTTAGCTGGGCAGCTCTGGTGATTTCTGCCTTGTTGGCTCATGTACTAGAATTTAAGCTGGGTATCATCTCCATCATCACTTTCCTATTCCTTCCTTCTTCTATCCATTATATTTTTTCCGGGCTAATTACAATCCCATTCCTCATTTTGCCCTCTCCCTCTAAGCCCAAAAATGTCTTTTCTGCATAATCCAGGCTTCAGCACAGCAATCAACACAACATATTTTGTCTTTTACATTGTATTACCAGTCTTGTGGCCCTAGTCACTCTCATTAATTTATTCTAATTAAAACATGGATATACTTACAATGCGGCCCTCACATTGCTTACCTTACTGACTGTTGCAGTAATACATCAATTTTCCTAGAAGCAGTGACACTTTTTTTTTTAGGAGACCATTTTTGCTTTCTCTCTAAACAAGTTTTGACTCTGCAATTCTGTTGGCAAGAATTGGAAAACTCTGCTATTTCTTTTTTTTAAAGATTTATTTATTTATGCATGGAAGAACTGGGTTGTAAGCTAGAGGTTGGGGTGGTGGTGAGAGGATTCACCAGAGACAGAGTGGGGAGCAGAACAGGCAGATCTACTGAAATACACTGCTGAGGGGAGCAGCAGGTGAGACAGGAGAGGTCTGCTGTGCCATGTGGGTCACCTCCCTGGCCGGGGAGCAAACTCAGGCTGCAGTGGCAATAACGTGATAGTGCTGAGACTTAACCCCTATGCCACCAGGGGAGGCTCAAGCTCTGCTATTTCTTTCAGATACTACAGCCTAGCAAAATGTGAATATTTTCTTTTTTCCAGGGGTGCGCTTTTCAAACCAACTAACTTGTTAAGATGGCTTACATGAAATTATCTTCCAATAATGACTTAAATATTCAGCTAATATCACAGATGTTAGGACTGGAAGGGGATTAGAAATCACTACCTAGTCCCTTCAGTTCCCAGATGATAACTGAAACCCAAGGAAGCTAAGTGTAAGAACCAAACCTCTACATACTGCCACAAGAAATTTCAATATTACTATTTTCCCCCACCACCATTTTTTGCATCCCCTTGTCCCTTTCCTCCATCCTACCTTTTAACCTCAGAGGTCTCAGGAAATCTGTGGATTTCCACTGGTTTTGAAAGTGTTTCGCCTGGAAGTAATGGCATAGTGATTGTCAGATCATTTACAAAATTATAATTAGCTTATTGTTAACACATTGATGCATGGACTGGTAGATGGATGGTTACATTGATCTATGTAGTGACATTTACTTGTAATTAATACTGACACCATAACTTGCTAAGGAGTAAACTGACTGGTTCATACCCTGCCTCTTCCCACACAAATTTCCAGGTAAGAGTCACAAATCACTCACCAAGTACCTGCACGTGTGGTAACCATCACCCTCCAGACTCCAGCTGGAATCTGGCAGACACTCACAATTTTATCCTACTAGCTGAGAATTAACCAAATCACTCAAGACAAAATCACAAAGAAATAGAAAAGCAGAGCATGAACACAAAATGAGAGAGAAAGAAAACCACCCATAACACCAAAATGAGAAGATGTAATATACAGACATACATGGGACGTGAGGACACCCCCTCACATTCATTCACAACCTCAGTCTCTCTCTCTCTTCCTCTTGAAAAACAGAAAAACAGTCAATATTCTTGATAGCTCGGCACTAACAAGAAAGTCTAGGTAGCAACCTGGATCTCTTGATTATTTAAACACTCATGACAAAGGAGCAATGCTTATCTCTGAGAACTGGTGTTTTCTAAGGAGTTCACATTTTATGTTGCAATCTAGTACACTGGACAGAATTTGGGGAAAATATAGCTTTCCTCGGTTCTCTGTTTACCTTCTTGTAACATCTATATGAAGGAAGTAGAGCTCAGGGAGAGTGGAAATCTTGGTTTTTTTTTATCATCTCCTTTCCAGTCTCCCACTGTCACCAGAGTCTTACCTGAGGCAATAGGAATTAAGGGACGAGGTAATTTCTGAGTTTTGACATAGAATCTGGTGCGAATGTTGTTTTTGAAGACTGCTAACAGAATTAATTGGTGAAGTTATTTGTATAGAAAATTGGTTTCCTGTTTTCCCTCTCAATGCTGGATAATTAGGCTTCTGGGATATCATTTCTGGTCTACTCTGGGGAATGAGGAGGGCCCCAAAACTGTGTCCTATAACTCCACATTTATATGGTAGCATCAAAAAATAGGTGACAATCACACTGTTAGCTCAACTTTGTCCTTTATGCTCCCTACATGAAAAGAGAAGATAACAGCAAATTGGCCTTTTCTGATGCAAGTAAAGTTGCATTATAACATCATACATCTCAGGTGTTCATAGTTGAGAATCGACATGTAAATATACTATAGGAAGTTCACGTCACCATACCATTGTGCCCTTTTTCACAATATCATGCCTAAATCCTCACTAAATTTAGATGAAGCTTGATAAATTCCTGACATCTTTTCATAATTTCAAATGAATTCATTCATTTGAATACTTGACATCCACGTTATTCAAGTGATATTTTCTTACAAATGAGTACAACAGCTGATAAATTATTTCAAATTGCAAGCTTTTTCCTGTCTCTTCATCAACGGTTACCTAGAGGTTAAAGTTCTTGAATCTGAAAGAATTCAAATCAAATTTAAAAAAATCTTTTATTTGAAGTGCCCAATGGAATGGTGAAACCATGAACATGGGAAAGTGTTCTTATCTTCCTTAAATTTGTCTGATAGTTGTACTTGAGCAGAAAGAACTACACTTACATTTTGTCAGAAATAAGGATCTGCAGACCCTTGTACCTTGTTTTAGGCTTATCACTCATACTTATCTTGGTTAACAAACCAAGGGGCTTTAAAATGAGGATGGGTGCCATGTGGTCAACCATGCAACACATTTTGACTAATGACATTTCAGATTCAGTAAAGTTCTCTCCGAACTCCTCACTACTTATAAGTCTTTCTGAAACTCAGATTTGGGAAAGTCTTGACCAAGAGTTTCTGAGAATTTATTTGAATCTGAATGTCCTTGTGACTGAAAACTCTGACTAAGCACAAATTTGGGCATGACTTAATTTTGAAAGAGATATATTTTGCTCAAAATAAAGTGGATGTATTGAAGTCTTCAGATAATCCACACAAGTTCAAGTGTCCCCCATCTCATCAGCACATAGATTTACTCACACCTCCACATAGTTCTCCTACTCCTTATGAATAGCTGCATTTTTGGCACCACTACTTTTTCTAGAACAGATATAAAGTCATTAGCTGAGAGATGACCCAGGGTTAGGATACATTCCCATGGGAAGCAGAGGACAAGTTTCTGAAGAACTGAGGTAGTGTTAGACTTCATTCACCAACAGTAAAAAGCAGCCACATTTGGGGGTACTGGGAAAAAGTAGGCAGGGCCCAAATGGTGTCTACCATTTCTTTAAGTAGTATTTATGCCTCTGCCATGCGTTTCCAAAACCTTATTAATTCCCTTCATATGTCCTTCATATTGTCTCTGAAGTAGGAGTTAGAGTTACACAATTCCTTAGGCTTGGAAGGACCACTCATCTCACGTCATAAAAGCCTGTTTTGTTGAAGTGACACCTGACAAGGGTCATCTAGTCAGTGTATGTCTCTTTCTGGGTCAAAGAGAGCTCAGTGTTAACCAGAATAGAGGTCAGGAAGATATTTAGGGAGTCAGATTATTAAAAGTATCTTACTT